CAGGCATGCACAGCACACGGATTTCAAGGAGGAACCCACAGAAAATGGAGTTCAGCTAGGAGGGCTGAGGTGGGGGAGATTTGCTTGGGGAGACCCTCCACACTCTGCTCTCCACAAAATAATTGCAGGAGCCCTGGGAAGCAGGGACTAAATCCCTGCATGGGGAGGTGGGGGCAGAGGAGGTGCTCTGGGTGAAGGTGGGGAGTGGGTGTTAGCGATGCTCTCACCCCTTTGCATTACAGGCTGTGGAAACCTGGGGCACTTCTGCCTTCCTCCTTGGCATTGGCTCAGAATTATTTGAGTCCAGGTAAAGCTCTGAGCTGATTAGTGCCCTAGTATTAGATCAGTCCGTAGGCAGTGAGAGCCATGGCGGAGACACTGTTAGAGGACTGGTGCAAGGGCATGGATCTGGACCCCAGGAAGGCCCTGCTGATCGTGGGCATCCCCGTGGAGTGTAGTGAGGCTGAAATGGAAGGGACCGTGAAGGCAGGCTTCAAGCCCCTGTGTGCGTACAGGGTGCTGGGCAGAACGTTCCTAAGGGAAGACAATGCCAGGGCTGTCGTCATCGAGTTGGCTGACACTGTCAATTTTGTTACAATCCCTAGTCAGATACCAGGAAATGGGGGCACCTGGGAAGTGCTGGTAAAACCCCGGAACCCAGATGAACAATTTATCAGTAGACTGAAGTACTTCCTGAAAGATGAGAGCCGGAGAGTGGTAGACGTGGCCAAAACCCTGGCCTACAGCACCTTGTCCACTGAGGACATGGAGCTAGAGGGCTCGAGCCAAGTCTGACCAGCAGTTTTGCAGCCTCTGGAAGACAGCACGTGGTACCAAAACCAAAAGTGTTTTCGGGAAGTGCTTTCCCAGGCCCAGGCGAAGAGACCATTGAAGTGTGGCTGGAGCAGGTCACTGACATGATGCAGATGTGGCAAGTGTCTGAGGTGGAGAAGAGGTGGCGTCTGCTGGAGAGCTTACGCGGCTCTGCCCTGTCCATCATGCGGGTGCTCTGGGCCCACAATGACTCTATCACTGTGGAGCAGTGCCTGGACGCCCTGAAGCAGATCTTTGGGAATAAAGAGAACTTTAGACGCTCTCAGTTTAGGTTTCTTCAGACCTTTCAGAAAACTGGAGAGAAAGACTCTGCTTACTTGCTGCGCTTAGAGCCCCTGCTGCAGAAAGCCGTGGAGCACAGCCCCTTCGAGCAGAGCACAGACCTGATTCGCTTGAAACGTTTTCTAGCTCGGGACTGCATGACCACAACCCTCCAGCACAAGCTCGAGCTCCTGGATCAGCGAGACTGTCACCCTACTTTTCTGGAGTTAATGAAAGTCATTCGAGATAAAGAGGAGAGGGAGGCTACCATGGCTATGATGAAGGAGATGCAGAGTCAAGTAGGAAGGGGCCGGAAGGCCGCGGGTAGGCAGGCAGTAGCGGGGGCCTTGGACAGGCAGTCCCCACATCTCAGGTCCCCATGCAGGCAGGGCCTTTTTGAGAGAGCAGCAGCCAGACCCTACAGGAAGGGGCTGTCTCATCACTGAAGTGCAGCCGACTGCTGTGCTGCCACAGCACTGGGGAAGAAGGCCATGGCCAGGCAGCATGTGCCATTGCTGAAGACAAACCTCCATCACTGTGGAGGCCGCAGGTTGTAGCAGGAGAGTCAGCAGCATCGGGAAACGAGACGGGGGCTGGGGCCATGAGCCACCCCTAGCCCTATGACGCATAGGCTCAGAAGATCCAGTGACCGCTTCTCCTAGCAGCAGCAGAGACATTTTATCAAGGGGAAGGGGCAGCCCAGGCAAACAACAGTTGACTTGAGTGGGGCAGAGGGTCAGGGCAGCCAGGCCCAGGCTGTGCCCCGTCCTCCTCCACCAGCTGGAAGGGACTGCACCAACCAAGACCAAACCCCGTGTGACTCACTGAGGGCCCTGACGAGGTATCAGAGATGCAAGTGGGGAGCTGCTACACCCAGCACATGGGGCGCCCAAGCCTCGCGTGGGGACCCTAACAAAGTAGAGGCTCAAGAAGGTACAGCTGAGGGCTCTGGCCCAGGCATGAGCCCAGTCATCTGGCCAGCCCCTAACGCCCACCCTGTGTGCTCTGAGCTAAAGATGCTCACCAGCCCCCAGGCCGTATGGGGCCTGGAAGAGCCTGCCCAGGGACTGTCCCAGCCAGAAGGAGCCAGTGCTGGCGAGGAAGAGCTGCAAAGCAGAGAAGTAACATCCCAAAGGGGAGGCCGCAGGATCCCGCCCATCTATAGGATCAACTACACTGCTCTAGGGGAGCCCCAGGAAGGGAGCACCGTTGAGCTGAGGGCAGGGGACACAAAGGACCTGGGAGCTCCATGCCAGCTGAGAGGCAGTTTTCTCCCCCTGTGGCCTGACAGGGCTTAGTGGGCAAAAAGACCAAAGACTGTGAGAAGACCCCAGGCAGGGGTGCTGGGTATCCAGTGGGGCAGTGTCCCCACAGCTGGCTTAGGCCAGAGTGGGTGGGCAGGAAAGTTTTTGTTCCAAAGCAGGAGGAGCAGGAGGAGGAGGGGGAGTAGGAGGTGAAGGAGGAGCAGGAGGAGAAGGGGGAGTAGGAGGAGGAAGGGGAGCAGGAGGAGGAGGAAAAGGAGGAGGTGGGAGTGGGTGGGGGTGTCTCATTCTGTTGTGTTTGTGCAGAGCCACAGGAGAGAGAAGGCAAGGAGAACCTGGGACCGGCATGGTGGACCAGAGCTGAGCACCCGCCGATGCTGAACCCTGCCCCACACACGACCAACTCGGGCAGCTGGCCTGGAGGCCGCCCTGAGTGTCCGGCCAAGGCCTGGATGAAGGACCTGAAGACGGCTGCCACCTGCACTGCACTGGGAGACATTAGGGGGAAAGAGGCCATTTCAATGGTGGAGCTGCCGGGGTCTCCCAAGAGGGGTCCCCCATTCCCAGTCCTGAGTCAGGCTGTTCCCTGTTCTGGGAAGCCCACCCTTATCTGTATTTGCCCCGAGGTGACTCCCGTGTCAAGCAAGCGCTCTCATTCCCCACCCCCCACCGCCATCGTGTCTGTGCAAACCCGTGAGGCTCGTGTCCACCCCGGGGTGCGACCTGGCCTACCGGGTCAGCCACCTCTGGGCCTGGGCACGTGCTGTGCATTATACGAAGTTATACGATGAGGCTCGTGTCCATCTGGGCGCGACCTGGCCTACCGCGTCAGCCACCTCTGGGCCTGGGCACGTGCTGTGAGCTTCCAGGCCAGGAGCCAAGGCTCTGCTCGCTCTTGTCCAGTGTCACCAGCTCCACCTCTGCTTTCTCAGTGAAGATTTAGGCCACCAGCTGCTTGTTCTTGTGGGGATTTGTGTGACCTTAACTGAGCATTTCCTCCTGGAGTCCCCGAGCTCTGATGTCCACCCTGTTCTTACTCATGCCTCAGTTTCCTCGGCTCGTTGGCGTGTTCCCTGCCATGTTCTCCAGTGTCTTGTGACTGTCCTGTGCAGGCCATTGGGCCAGACCCTGGCCCAGAGGGTCAGCCCAGGAGCGGGTTTCCTCAAGTCAGTGGACATTGCCAGAGTCCACCGTCCTGGCCTGAGGCAGACCGGGGAGCCCTAAGGAAGGGAGAAGGTGTTAGGGCCACAGTATGGGTGACAGATGTGGCACCTGGTCAGGAACCCCAGGAGGAGGGGTCCCCGGGACCCATGATCTCTCGTGCCTTTTGGGGTGTCCTCTCTCTGATGTCATCCCCTTCTCCTCAGTGGTTCAGCAGATTTTTTTTTTCAGTAATGTTCTCTTGATGTTGCAGCTGAGTCTCGCTTCTGCTGTGGGCAATTGACAGCTGGGCCAAACGGGGCTGTGAAGGAGTTGGGGATGAGGGGACACAGGGGCCAGGTTAACATTGGGGGAAGTGAGCGGCAGTGGCCGGGATGGTCTATGGGAGCCCCTGGGATGCACAGAGTCCGGTGACATGACATGGGCCAGTGGCTGGTTGGGTCACCAGGGCACTCGGGCAGCCCCAAGGAATAAGTGGGTAGAAGTTGAAGGGAGGGCGAGAAACAGCAGGCAGACCCCAGGCCCCAGGACCCCGGCTCTTCTCCAAGTGGGACTATTTTATTTTGAATGGTTCGTAAAAGCAACTTCACTAACTCAATAAAAGAAGACATTTTACTAAGTTGTTTGAAATATATTCTCAAACCATCTCATAGTTATTAAATAAAATGAAGACTGTGCATATTGTTAAATGTATAAAGTGCACATTATAAAAGGAAACGTATGAGAATTATCGATTCAAGTTTTTAGATGCATGTGCATTGAAACTTCCACATACCACTGAATACTATACATGGAAAGCAAAACACTCTAGACAACTTACTTTAAAAATACATGTAAAATACATAAACCACAAATAATTCATTATACATATACATTAGTAAAATTCCTAAATCAATGCTAAGAACAGGTGTCATTAATAGTGGACCAAAACCAATTAAATGACATTTTGGCGTCTCTGTGAAAATGACGTATTCACAAACCCATGGCTCAGCACTGATATTTATTTATCTCGTTCAGTTGTCTCGATAATTTTTAGCACTGTAATTTTCTTCAAGAACACAAACAGAAGTTGTTTTTAATCATTTTTACGGCCATAACATAGGTTTCCTTGTGAAATCAAATTTTCATTGAAATTGGCTCTGTAACCCGGTTAGTAATACAGAAGGGTGCACAGATAAAATTTATTTTGTCTTCTCATATTTTCCTTAAGAAAGAACAATCTAACCTTCCATGCCTGTGTTTTCTACCTCTTGGGATTGATAGCGATCCACTGAGGCCAAACCTAAAATTAAGTCATCTATATATATATATATATTTTTTTTTTTTTTTTTGTGACCGGTAAGGGGATCGCAACCCTGGCTTGGCGTCGTCCACACTCAGTGAGCAGACCACCTATCTCTATATAGGATCCGAACCCGCGGTGAGAACGCCACTGCACTCCCAGCACCACACTCTCCCGAGGGCGCCACGGGGTCGGCCCATCATTCTTGCTAAAAGTTAACTGACAGGTTTAGGGAGAAAAAGTCACCATTACTATCGAAGTGCTGGAAGCCTGATATATGAAACTTTGGTATTCACGTAACTGTTCAGGGTACACTCGCTGGTTAACAGCAATGTGGTCTTGCATTGAACAAAGAAACTAATGATAAACAAGATATACTGATTTATACTAGAATTTTAAAGCCACCGTAATGGAGTTTAGTGTAGCTAATGTTATACTTGTGTCATATAACTGAGGTTCAAGTTCCTTCTTCAGAGTCTTCAGAATAACAGGGATCGAAGAGATATTTCAATAATTGCCATTTCTTGCTGATGCTGTTTCAGAAAATGAAATGTACATAATTCTCATACGCAACTCCACAAACAAAGTGTTCCAGTGCTCACACCCACCCTCAGTCTCTAATATTAAAGAGACACTACTTACAGTTCCCATCATAATGTTTTGCTGCAACACGGCCATGTCTTTGTTAAGTTCTCTTTGTTCACCAATAAGGAGACTTTCATCATCCCCATCCAAGTCCTTGAGAGCCTAAAACGAAAAGTCCACTTCAGTTATAAGCCACTTTCATGTCACTTTCTAAACAGGTAAAATTAAATTTCAAAAGGCACAACTTTTCATACATAGGCTTGTTTTTTATTTCAACTTAAAATGTTATAATAAATACATGGAGATAAAAATACCCACTTAAGAAATTTCTAAATGTCACATTTGAGTGAAAGACTAATATTACGGGAGGTGCAATAGTTTTATACTTAACTCTGAAAAATGGGTTGATGAACAGTTCTGGTCAAGATGGAACAAAGACAGAGAAAGACAGGCAGTCCCAAACCATAAAATACCATCACTTTTAGGAGGTAATGGCCCATTTATTTTCACTCATAGTTCCGGTATCATGAGTCCTAAGAAGGAATAAAATGGCCTGTCATGGTACCTCTTTAAATTAAGAAAAAGACAACTTCTGTTTTAAATGTTCACTATTCACTCAAAAAATAATGATGTCATTTGTACTACACAAAACGTACTATGTTAAGTGCTGTGGAGGAATTAAAAATCAAATATGCGATCTCTTCCACATCTAAGTGGAATGAGCAAACATAAAAGGTAGCGATAGAAAAAGTTTGTAAGACTTATGAGAGGGTAAGTTCCTGGGGTGGCGTAGCTGAAAATAGAGATTTATAGTTACTCAGGTGGCGTGAGCTCTCGACTTCCATCTCTCAGTGGCTGTGGTTTTCCAGGCGTCTGTGGGAGCCTGTGCTCCTTGCGGTGGGTAGCCCAGCCTGGGTGGCCTGGTCTTCAGTCCCCACCTTCTCCCACATAGGCACCTGGGGCCAAACCTGTGCCAGACCGGGCTTGGGGGGCGTTTCTGCCCAAACTGGAAAGGAAGAGAGTGACAGTGGCTAAGGCTGAACTTGATCAGGTCCATTCAACTCACCTGACCCAGCACCTGCTCCAGAAAGCCACCAGACCAGGGCCCTGGAGATGCAGGCTCTGATCCCCACCGTGCTTGTCCCAGCCCGCTGTGGGGAACAGCTGCAGAGACATGGGGACAGAGGCGTCTAGACCGATAGGGCCAGTGGGCGTGTGTGTCAGAGAAGAGTTGGGCCCCCACCCCCAGCCCCACCCCGGGAGTCCAGCTTCCCAGCAGAGGCCAAGGAGGAGTCTGAAGGGGGCCTGGCACAGTCTTGTGTTTGTGGAGAAGGACCCAGGGCGTGTGGGAAGGGGGACCAGATGAGCTTGTGCAGGAAGGCAGGAGGCCTCCTACAGGGCCAAGGAGATCTGCACTTGGCTCGGTGGATGCCGTTGACCATCTCCCTAATAACCTGATGGTGGAGGCCTGGGCAGGACCCCAGGCAGGTGGCAGGGCCACTGCCCACAGGAGCACTGCACACCCAGGTGGTCCCCGCCAGGCTGTGGGCCACACCATGGGCCTCCCGCCCCCCACCATCAGCCGGCAGCATCCACAGAGTTTGAAACAAGGAGCTCCGGTCCCCCTAAGCTGCACTCGGTGTTCCCAGGAAGATGCTTCCTTGTCCCAGAGCCAAGCACATCACCTGTTGTTGGAGGCCCTCAACCTTGTTGGGTGACAGTCCCCGGGACAGGCCTCCCACACACCCTCGCCCACAAGCATGGCCGCTCAGGGCCAGCCCCTCCCGCTCCCCAGGCTACTACTACACAGTTCCCAGCTGGGGTCCTGCAGCCTGAGGCCGTGTGCCTTGTCTCTCCTGGATTTCCTAAGAGGCCCTAGGGTCTGAGTGGCTGTCCCCAGTCCAAACTTGATGCACACCCATCCCCTGACTTGCATGTGGGGAGAAGGGTGTCTTCCATTTCTATGTTGACAAGACGGGACAGCTGGAATTCACACCACCCTGGCTGGGATGGCAGCGTCACACCGATCCCATTCAGTCCCACCCTGACCTGGACCGAAGCCCCCTTTCATGCCGTATCACCCCACAGAAGGCCCGAGTGCCCCCTTCTTTGGTGGGGGACCAGGGGTGCTGAGACCTTCGGGCACCTGACACTGTCCAGGGGCAGCCCCTGCCACTTGCAGGAACAGTCCCCCCACCTCCTACCCCAGGAAGACCCACTTTCTCCTCAGCAGCCCCTTGGGGTTCTGCTTCCTCCAAGTCCCTGGCTCTGCACAAAGAACCCAGGCCCTCCCCTTCTCTCCAGACCCTCTTTCTGTGCTGCACCGAGGAGCTGGGTGACTCACACATCCTCTCCTAGCAGTGGGGCCAGGAGAGGAGACACGTTCCAAATGGAACGGAGAGGACATGGCTTGGCAAGCTTTCGAGATATGTATGGAGTAAAATGTGGACTCTATCACCTCTGATTCAATAGCTTGGTCCTTGGTGACATCCCACAAAGCCTATTGTGACCTTTGTCCAAGAAAAACTCACAGCACATAAAACCATGGCTCTTAAAGTATGCAATTTGGTTGTTTTTTGTACGTTCCCCAAGTGGATCTTATGCTCCCTGAGGTTTGCTGCTGACTAGCCCAAGGCAAGTTCATGCCCAGGGTAAATGAGAGTCTCTGAAAGTGCAGCAAACTCTTGAGAGGTGGTTTGGTGCAGTGTGACTTCACAGTGTCATCATTGACAGTGGGTAGCACTGGGAAGAGAAATGCCCTGTGTGGGCCTGCAAGAGGGCAGGCTTTTATATTTTACTCCATATAAATCCTGACAGCTTAAACTTTTTGCATATAAGAATGCATGTCATTACTTTTGGGACAAAAACATAGAGACCACAAAAGAAGTCACTGTGATAATTGAAGGCATCGTTGAGAAATAGGGAAGAGAACGTGTTTCATTCCTGGCTATGCAGCCCCATCGCTATGGGATTTAGGGCAAGTACATTTACTTTTAGGGCGTCAGTTTCCCCTTCTTTATAATGAAGAAAATTTCCGCTTCTTTCCTACTCTGAAGGCCAGGACTCTGTGAGCCTAAGGATGTCATCATCTGTCCCAAGTATCCCTTGTGCCTTTTCTGTCCCTAATTCATCTTCCCCTCCACATTCCCAGGAGTTCAAATTGTCCCTGTGGAGTGGATGGAGTAGGGAGAGCAGGGAAAGACTGTGTAGATGACTTTAGCAGTCGGTTTATGACTTTTTAAATTTATTTACTATATGAAGCTAAGGTGTACAACATGAAATTTTGATATACATACACATAGTAAAGGATTGCAGGTATGAATGTTGTCACTAGAAGGGGATGTGAGGACAAAAGGGCCTTCTAAGCATGTGAGATAAAGGATGGAAGATGGGAGAAGCACACGAATTGGCCTTGTAGGGGCAGAGGCAGATCATCACTTGCCACTCGGCCAGAGCAGAGAATAGGGACAAAGACACAGAGAGTGAGTAGGTTTGATGGTGGGAGGATGACGTGATTCTCAGCCAGTTGCACGTGTTTTCTCAGTGAACTATGGGGCAAAGTCATCAGCAGTGATGTTGGAAGTTTGAGTAGAGAAGAAGGGGTGAAAGAGTACTTCTGGAGAGAGGGACGAGGAGTATAATATGATGGAATTGGCCACCAAATTTCAGCCAGCCAGTGCTAGGGAGAGATGGCCCCGACAACATTCAGCTCTTCAAGCACAGCTGGGAAGCAGGCTGGTCCTGCGGGGTTCAGAGAGGCCTGGGGCTGTAGACACACAAGGGCACTGGCGGGAAAGAGAGCCAAAGGAACTAAAGGGGTCGGTAAAGGGGTGTTTATAGGGGTGGATGGTGCATCTAACTGGATAAACAGGGAAAGACTGCCATGGTATGTGTATGGGTGAGCAGGTGCATGCGTGTGTGTATGGACAATGGATTCATGGACCTTTTGGGGAACTTCAGAGTCTTAAAAGCTTTTTCCCCTGTGTCACTAAATAGGCAGCAATTCCAGGAGCTCAGGAATGCTCCACTAGCTATATGCCCTTGGATGCTGAGTTTGGAACACCACAGACATTTATGATGCATTTCCAACTGGGTTCTCTCCACACACTTTGGTACACTATAGTTATTTTTATAAGTATCCCGCAGGATTTTGGGTGATTGGTTCAAGGACACTTCCCACACACACCCCATCCCACCCCCATAACAAAATCCACTGAAGATCAAGTCTCTTACATAAATCTCGTAGTATTTGCATATAACCTATGCACATTGTAAATGCTTTGGGGAATGAGTTAAGGAATAAAACCCACAAAAAAACCCATAAACATATCGATGGGTAGCATTTGATCCAAAACCCAAGACCAAAACAGAAATGAAAAGCCAGATAGTGATCCTTGAGATCCAGGACCAGAGACCCCATGCCATGGGAGCCCACCCCCTCCCCCAGCACAAAGAGCCAATACATTACAAATAAATGGTCTTTTTATTGTGTGTCCACGAAAACTAATCAGGGTGGCCTTTGGCCAGCAAGGTGTCAATGAACAAGAGGCATGCATGACAACAAGCGTATTGTCCAACACAAACATATCTATGGGTAGCATTTGATCCCTAACCCAAGACCAACACAGAAATGCAAAGCCAGATAGTGATCCTTGAGATCCAAGACCAGAGGCCCCATGCCATGGGAGCCCAACCCCTCCCGCAGCACAAAGAGCCAATATATTACAAATAAATGGTCATTTTATTGTGTGTCCACGAAAAGAAATCAGGGTGGCCTTTGGCCAACAAGGTGTCAATGAACAAGAGGCATGCATGACAACAACCATATTCTCCTCGAGAGTCAGTTCTTTCCCTCCCAGGCCTTAAGGGTCACAGGCAACCAGGGCCAGGAGGCTCCAGAGGAAGGCAAGCCCAGGACCACCATACACTGGAGGGCCTGAGTCTGCTGCCTCCCTGGCAGGACAAGGCAGGGAGAACAAACACTGCCTCGGGCTAGGCCCAGCCTCCAGAAGCTAGAACACAAAGAAACCCCCCACCCACACCCCCATCAAACACTGCTGAAGAAGTCAGCCAGGACTTCTGAGAAGAGCTGGCTCTGAAGCCAATAACCCTCAGGGCTCTATCCAGAAGGGGTTGCCCTCTCGAAGCTCCCAGTAGTAGTAAACAAAGAGCAGCAAGGCAACTAACAGCAGGAAAAGCAGCACCTGGCCCCTGAGCGGGACCCTAAGTGCCTGCTTTCCTGGCTGGATGGTGTATCGGGTGAGACACGAAGGGCACGGACTTGAAGATGAATATAAAGAAGAGGAGGATGAGGATGTAGAATAATAGGACAGGTCCTGGGAGCTTTTGGAGATGCTGGAAATTCCGCAATACTGTGCGATGCTCTGGTAGGAACTCTGCAAGCCATACACGGGGTGTTCCCTGAGGCAAAAGAGGGGAGCAACTGGGCCAGGAGAGCCTCGGCCCAGAAAAAAGCCCTGTCCCTGGGCGTCTCCACTACTCACCTATCCTTGCTGTCTTCTTCGCAAGAAGAAAAAAGGCTGTCATCTCGAATCTCCAGAAGCAAATCAGGGTGAGGGAACTGGTTGGTGGGATCACCATGGCCCTATCATATCCCGCAGTCCAAACTTCCTTGGCCAGCTCACTCAGACCATTGGTTAAAGGCCAGGGACCTGCCCCTTCCAGAACCTTCTGGGTTACCAGCCTTTTGTCTATGGGGCCTTGTCACTCGCTCAGTGAGTGTCCTGACTGCCTGTGCCCCGGCACCCTCCTTTCTACCCTAAGAATTCTCAGAAAGAGCATGAGCCAAATCTCAGACCGGGGTACAGGCCATGTGCCGTCCCATGCACTCTAGTCAAATAGTTCTGACGGCTCCCCAAAGTAGGGCCCTGACCAAACAGGTGTCTGCTGACCCTAACCCTCCCTGGAGAATGAAGGGTGCACCCAGTGTCCACCCTGCTCCACTGTATTTGTCCAAACACAGCTATGGTCCCCTCAGGTCGGATGAAAGTACAGGATGCCTGACAATCAGCTCACCTGGTGGTGGAAGGAGTCAGCAACTGAGAGCGAAGTCACCAGCTGGTGGAAGCCCTTGGTTGTACCCACAGAATGGGCCTGTCCGGAAGTCCTGGCGGTCAGGTAACTCGCCTCATAGTACTCGTCATTACAGCCTTAGGAAGGGGGCCATGGTTAGCAGAGGAAGCATCGGTGTCCCCTGCCTGACCCAATGGTCCTAATCTGAATCCCATTACCGGCCTATGACAAAGTTTCTCCCTCCAAGGGCCGCTGAGAGGTCGTGGGGGTGGGGGCCTCAGGCTCTCCCTGAGAATGGGGTCCCAAAGCGAGTGGGCTGCAGGTATCAGGGTGCCCACCCCATCCCTGCCTTAACCTTACTCTGGCCAAGTAAGATATCCTCTTTCTTGGGCAGATTGTACATATCCGATGAGCCCTCGAGTGCTGAATCCAAGTCTGAATGGAGGAGGGGGAATGGTCCATGTGCCCCTCAGGATTTCTTCCCTTCTCCCCAGCGCCCCAATCGGCCAACGCCCTTGCCATACACTCCCGACCCATCCTCCCCGTCGCCCATACCCTGTTCCCATCCCATGGGCGGCCAGGCGGGCCTATGGGGCTGGGTCTCACTGGAGAACCCATAGGAGGAGGCAGACGAGTTAGAGGGTGAAAGCCTCCTCCGCCTCTGGGTCATGTAGTGGAAGATTTCCTCTTCCAAGAGGTTGTTAGTGGAGCCTGGGCAGACATGGGGCGCAGGGCGGTCAGGGGTATGGTCCGCAAACCTGGGGGGAGAGCGCAGGGGGGACACGGGGAACGGGTGCGGGGGAAGGAGCGGGACGAAATGCGGGGAGCAGGTCCCGGGAGGGGACCCGACCGCCGCCGGCCGCCGCGTACCCAAGACGTTCCCGTGCGGGGTGAACTGGAGCGGCAGAGCTGCCAGCTCGGGGTCCGACCCAACCGCCGAGTCGTCCATG